ACAGGATCAAAACTCACCCATTTTATTCACAGGACAATTTCGTTTGCAAGGCAGTCCGCAGTTCTTCGGTTTGCAACGGTCCTTTTCCACAATAGCAATACGCAGCGGCTTATCCGTCTCTTCATTCTTTTGCATAGGTCCCTTTCGGTTCATTTTGTAAAAATTTCTCCTATTCGAGCAAAGCTGAAGTAAGCCGAATGAGATGGGCCGAGTTTGAGGAGTTCCTAAAATATATGTCCTTTGAAACGCTAATTTTAACAAAGGAAAGTAGCTCAAACAGAGACACCACGTTCTTCAAAGATGTGAGCAAAAGTATCTATACAAAATTTGATATTCAAATCGGAGTGGATCTGCTAATTCGTGAACTGCTGATTTAGAAACTTAAATAACAAAGCAAACAGAAAACGCTCAAATAAAAAGATTGTGATTACTTCGATTTAAACTTTAGTTATTACTGGTACTTGAATATTTTATTTTACTTTCACTGTTCCTTACCTACTTTAACACTGCTTATCAACCATTTTACGATATTACCAAAATATTGCGAAACTGCGCTTAAGTTTAACAATTGCACAATTGCGTCACGCTACAAAATAATTTAATTTAACCGAAAACGTCTAAAATAAACCACTACTACAAATTCCATCATAAAATTAAGAAACATGTATTAAAAGCATGTGAAAGTGATAGGATACTGCTTGATGAAGAACTATGGAGTTTGTAACCCATCGTCAAAATGCCCAACTCAGAGTTAAAGGTCAAACTCGAGATAGGATGGGGTTGGAGCGCGTTATTTTACTACAGCCAACTGAACCAGCAAGCTTTTAATTATGATACCAATATATTCTAGTGTAATAAAATTAATACTATTGGGTGCTACCTATTAGCGAATTTCTGGGAAGTTGTCGCATCTATTCTGACCACTGTCTAGTATCTGAAATTTAGTCAAAACCTTAAAAAATTTGTTAGCGGTTATGTTAAATACCGTTCCTCAATGTTTATAAAGCTATTATCGCTTAACATTGCTGTTGCACTGATAGACGTCGCATGTGATAAGCAAGCGACGACTCAGAATCCTGGTAAGGTTATTTCTCAAGCTAGCAGTCGCGTTGGAAAGTCATGGGTGCAGATGTCAGTTTCACAGGGCTACTAGGCTCTCCTACTATCTCTCATATGGGTGGTAGGGAAGAGTAAGTTGACGCAACTCCTGACTTTTGTTTCCAGAAGAAGAAAAAGAAGAGGCCGCTCATACCAACTGGTGAAAATGTTTGCTCGCCAACTCACAAGTAAAGCAATTTTAACTTGCAATATTGTGAATTTATAGAATTTGATGTTCAGATATAAGATCGTGGGCGTTCTCGGATCAGGAGGCTTTGGTGACGTTTACAAAGTTCGACAATCAGAAACTGGACAATTTTACGCTTTGAAAACTGAAGATGTTGACATTGATTCAAGATTGAATCGGCTCAAGGTTTGAAATTTAGAGAGACTAAAATCACAGCACAACATCAATAGTAGCACTTTTATAAAGTTGAGTTCTTTAAAAATTTAAAATTTCTTTGAATGACTACGGATTGTCAACTTGGAAAGTAAACCCAAAGCAACTAGATGGCCACCGAAAAAGGTGCTGACTATAGAGGAACTTGAAAAACCCTTAGTGTTCTCAAGCAAAGGGCCTGAGATCTTGTTTAGAAAAAAGTATTGGTGGAAACTTGAGCATAATCAACGTTAGAAACCGCACTACCGCTTTACTCTTTTCAAGAAGAAACAAGGAAAGGAAAGATGAAGTTGTCACACGCGTCTTGTGCAAAAATCAAGCATCATTTTAGTATTTGAGAGAAAAATGTAGGTCATTCATCTAATGGTGTGTGCAGATAGTAGAACACAACATAAATGAGGAGGACCTGTTATAGGCACTGCAACGGGATTCATAGGTTTAAGACCACTATCATTATTACCTATAAGAGCGTAGTTTGTCGGTATGCAGTGTGTGTGTTTCTCTGTCTGTCATAAAATTGCTTCATGTGTCCTAAGAAAGTCAAAGAAAAAAAAACAAACGTTAGCTGGTTGACTGCAGTACAGTAAGTAGATATATGCGATTATTGTTGTGTTGCATGGACAGGTCCTATGGTCGAAGTATTAGGTAGAAGGTGCACCTTTACCCTTCAAGAAGAGTTGAGAGGTAAGATCAGCACTACATTTCCAGCAGAATACACATACAATGACTTTTGGACTAGATAAAGTACTGTTTTAATGTGTGAAACTAGCTTTCCACGAAAGTGCCAATGCGAACTTCTCCAAAGTAGTGAAGCACGGGTTTCTCCATATCTCGCTATTTTCCCATCAGAGATTTTGCTCGTTAGTGCAGTGCAGCGACTTTAGCTTCACGTATTTCGCCTACGATCTTTTGAAAGGACGAAAAGCTGGTTATTGTCAAATAATTGACGGTTTTAAGGACATGTGAAGATAGTAGAGTTTTGATTTTGAGTTGATCATATTCTACAGGACACAATGGTGAGGCAAGCGTTGTCCGCTATTTTCCTCATTAGAGATGTTCTCTTCCTTCGAGGTCGAGCTGTCATCTTGCTTGGATAAAAAGAACATTCTTCTGCGTTTGGCATATAATGAGAGTTTATAGAACAGGGACTTCTGAAGAACCTTTAGACTTTTTGACGTGCTATGACTTCCATTCTCAACCTCCTAAATTGCACGACTTAGTGAAGTCATTGATAAAAATTCTCATCTTACCGTCATTCTCTTTGTGCTGCATTCGTCGGGATAAAAAGGAGTGCGA